CCCCCCCCCCCCCCCCCCCCCCCCTCACGGCGCTGCTGACATCCTGCTACCGCTCAGGCACGCAAACTCGTCGAAGCCTTCTACTGTCGGCAGCAATCAGGGCAGCCCAGGGCAGCCATGAGCTTATCCAAAGGTGGCGGACAGCTCGTGTTTGTGCATGTGGCGGTATTAGAATGGTACGCCTAATTCGGCATAGTAGCTTTTGGCGTTCAATGAGGTTGCGAAGATCAACACGTGGGGGAGCGAACGGCCATGGTCGACTACCAGACGGGCCAGCCAACTCCAGGGCTCGATTCAGCCACGCGTGGCTTTCCCTTGGAATCTCGGAAGATGTTTTGATGCAGCCTGCACGAACTCACAAGGAACCGGATTTCATAAATCAAGATGCTGTTGCCCACTCATCGCAGCGTTCGCAGCTGAACGACCTCGGAAGCATCGCAGACGGGAGGAGCCGGAGAATGCACCATGATTTGGACATCAGCGGCAATCACACATTCCAAAGGACTCCAGTGATGAAGGCCTGGACGCTTGGATCGCGGCAATGAACGCCACCAAGCCTGCCCAGGTGACTTCGGCGAACCAAACGAGATTGGATGCGCTGATTGAGAACGCACGAATAGCGCCAGTTCGCATGCGTCCTCTTCTGTTGACCGGTTTGCCTTGTGGTATCGGGCTATGCACGCTGTCTGAAATCTGCCTTCGGTAGTCCGTGTCATGGTGGAGGCTGAAGCTTTGCGCATTCACAATATGAAAGATGCTGCCCCAAGGCGGTTCTGCACGACAGACCCCGTTACATACTGACTATTGCCGGAACCCTCGCACGTAGGTACAACTACCATACTGTTACAGTTCTGTCACCCCTATCGCTACAATGGGCCTCCGTAAATGGATCATGCGTCCAATGAGAGGCCACCAAGTTGGGGTGCCGGACATAACAACAGGCGGGAGCGGTATACCGGTAGGTTTCCCTCTGCCACTCGTAGTAGTCCTAGGATCCATCTTCTCTCGCTAATCTGATGGACAGGAGATAAGGCGTCGACGGTGGACTCTCGCGACGATTGATTCAGCGCCCTTCCAGGTCTGGGTAGTAGTAGTAGCTGGGATCGGCTTCCTAACAGATTCGTTCGGCCTTTTTGCTTTGAATGTCGTTACCCCCATGCTCGGTTATGTCTACTGGCCTAATCGCAACGAAGGCGGTATACCCTCGGTGCCGTCCTCTGTCAAGACAGCCATGATGTGTTCCACACTAGCGGGTACAATGGTCGGCCAGATAGGATTCGGCTTCGCGGCAGACATATTGGGCCGACGAAAAATGTATGGTCTTGAGCTGGTAATCGTCATCGTTGGCACAATGCTGCTGCTCATGAGTTCGAACGGGGAGAAGAACAGCATGGCAATTGGAGGATGGCTGATCACCTGGCGAGCGATCATGGGTAAGAAGCGAATTGATGTACGAATGCATCGTAAGACTGACGATAACTAGGGATCGGTATCGGGGCGGACTACCCTTTGAGTGCTGTAGGTATTGTTTCCAACGTGGCCGTGCTGATGCTAATCGTGGGTTCAGGTCATTACTGCCGAGTTCGCACCTCGCAAACATCGTGCGCGAATGTTGAGCTGGGTTTTCTTCGCCCAACCTGTTGGACAGCTGCTCGCCAATGTTCTATCACTTGCTGCAGTGGAGTCGTACAAGCCATGGATCAAGGAGGCCACGCAGTCTTGTCAGCCTGCCGACTTGGAGTGCTTCCGAGCTATCGATCGACTTTGGAGGCTCGTAGTTGGGATCGGCATTGTGCCGGCTCTCATCGCTCTGCTCTTTCGATTCACGATACCAGAGAGTCCGAGGTATACGCTGGACATCTTGCAAAACACAAAAAGCACCCTCGAAGATACGGCGAACTACTTTGGTGCGCCCGGAACAGACCCCGAACATGGCGAGAGGGAACTGCTAGATCTGGCTGCAACACAGGAAGTTCCGAGGCCTGTATCGAGGCAATCGACCAACGCTTCGGTGATTGCACCCGACGAGGAGATTGAGAGCGACAGTGACTCCGGACACCGACTCAGTGACGTACATCTTCGTCCCGCCGCAGTGCCTCGCGGCCGGCTTCCTCCAGGCGACCCGGATTTTGTTCCTCCACTTGCCTCGTGGGCCGACGCAAAACAATTCTTTGTAGTGGAAAAAAACTGGCAGTACCTTCTAGGAACGTCGTTGGCCTGGCTGTTTCTCGATTTCGCGTGTAGGTACACTGCCAGACCACTGCGGTAAAACCACTGACTTTGAGACAGTCTATGGGTTGGGCCTCTCTTCACCAGAAATTGTCAGCCACATCTGGCAGGGAAACAACAACAGCAGATCTTCCGTCTACCAGACGTTGAGTGATAATAGCAAACACACCCTGGTGATGGTTTCCATAGGGACAGTTGTCGGCGGCCTGCTAATGATCAAGATTGTCAAGCATGTGTCGCCAAAAGTGATTCAGTTCTGGGGGTTCTTGGTTCTATTCGTTCTCTTCATCGTAACCGGAAGTGCTTGGACCAACCTACTCGACAGCAGTCGCTCGGGACTCATTGTGCTTTACGTGCTCAGCCACATCGCCTTCAACCTGGGACCGAATGTGACGACTTTTAGTAAGTGATATCCGTGTGCGACCTGTTGTGAAACATCTACTAATTTCGTGCATCAAGTTATCCCTGCCGAGATATTCCCTACGAGGTACCGGTGCACCTGCCACGGCATAGCTGCGGCTAGTGGCAAACTCGGGTGAGGACAAACCGCGGAAGAACTGCATATGAGACATTTACTGACTTCGAAAACTCGCACCATAGGTCTTGGGTGGTGCAAGTCTTTCTGGCATATGCATTCCAATCCGACAAATCCGAACCCACAAGCGATTTTGAATGGGAACGCAAGAATTTCGGACATATCCTGCAAGTAATGAGCGCTTTCATGCTAGCAGGTGCCGTAACAACATATTTCTTGGTCCCGGAAACAAGAGACCACGATAACAAGAGTCGGACACTGGAGGTTTTGGCGTGTGGCAAGAAGGTTATCGATGAGCTGAACCGCCAGCGGAAGAAGGAAGATGAAGACGACTGAGATGGATTGTACCAGAATGAACTTGATGAAGTTAGGGAAGATACGGTAGTCGGTTGCGGATGATGAAGCAATGGACAAGCGTAGTAGCGTAGTCGGCTGGATGTTGATGATGCGGTACCCAGCCACCCGGCCCCACATCCCTCCAGGGCTGGTCAATGACGCAGGAGGCACGTTTGGCGCTAATTTCGTCCGGAGCTACGCAGCTTCTTCTGACCCTCACGTGCTGCTATCTTGAGTACCCACCATTGCGAAGCCTGGGCCCCGAAGACGATGGTGTGCTTCCTTCCATCAGATTCCATCGGAGGATGCTAGGAAAATGACACGGACATTTCTCCTTCTCTCAGTCAGGACGTTACGGGACCGTCCGGGAGGGGGATATAAGAGAAGAGGCTTGATGGGCAATGTCCGAGATGTTGCATAATGAATGATGGTAGAACAAAAAGATGACTTGGGAGAACCGATAGCTGCCTGCCCCTGTCGTACAGCTCTTCGAAGCGCCTTCGCGTCTATTGCCAAAGCAAGGTGATTTTCTTCCACCATGGCCCTTTCATATTCATTGTTCGCGCCGGCACCTCCTCAGCAAGCACCTGATCCATACCCGTCTTCAGATCTACCTCTGCTGGATCATAAGCCCAACTATCGCTCCAGGCCCAAATCCGATGCCCCCCATAGAACAGGAAGAACATGGGAATACCCACGTACGCAGTAAAGAAAGAGCTAACGTCCCACTTCTCAGGCCAGAAGACATCGAACCCGTTGACCAAACAGAGAATTGTAAAGCTGATGATGACGCACCAAGCACCCCACTTGTTCACCGGTGAGCGATATGGAAGATCCGTGATGTTTTGCGTTTCGCAGGCTTTCCGGAAGCGCAGAAAGATGATGCCGCAGCAGATCCAGGAGATGAATCCAGACGTGTTTGTTAAATTCACGAACCAGTTAAAGACGACCGCACTCTCGCTGCCTACGTTTAGGTATGCCAGAACGCAGAACAACGAAGAGGCAGTAACAGCCCAATACGGTACACCGGACTTGGTGCATGCTTTGAAGACGGAAGGTGCGTTGCCAGACAGGGCGAGCGCGTATAGCGACCGCGAGGACAAAAATAGGAAGGAGTTTCCGGACGACCATGCACTGATGATGATACCTGCGTTGATGATGCTGTCCAGCACGGGGATGCCAGCGTTCTTAATTCCTGCAACAAAGGGCGACGAGCCAGCTCCAGAACCACCAGACGTAATGATGGGGTCGTCGGAGGGGCAAATGATTCCGATAGCCAGTACGCTGCCAACATAGAAGAAGAGTAGGCGGTATATGTATCTGCGTGCCGCAGTAGGCAAGTTGCGACGCGGTGACTGCATCTCGCCACCTGTTGCAACGAGAAGCTCGGGAGCAAACGTGAAGGGGAACTAGACATGAGGGTCAAACAAGTAGATATAAGGCTTCGCCGGAAGCATGCTTACAGCAGAGAGTACCATAGTGGATAAGAGGGCCACAAATCGCCCAGCATTCCCTTCTTCTAGATACGTATTCGCCGCGCCAGGGTTCTTCCAGTACCGGAAGCCGAGTCGGTCATGCTGTGGACCGCCGCCTTTAAGATAAATGTATAAAGTCAGTGGTTGTATCATACGCAGTTTGTGCAGGGGTATTACTAACCCCAAAACAAAACAAATGACAGAATCAGGAGCCCTAAAATCATGATAACCTTTGTTCCGGCAAACCAGAACTCTGTCTCGCCGTAGAACCTGACTGGAAAGCAGTTCAGTCCAACGATGACAATGATCATGACTGTGATCCACACTGCGATGTTCACGGGCGGGTTCCAATACTCAATGACCAACCCGGCTGCCGTGATTTCGTAAGGCACAAGGATACCGAGCGAGTAGAAGTATAGCCAACCCAGGCCGAACCCCATAGAGCGCGACACATAGCGGTAACCGAAAAGGTTCTGAAGGTACAAGGTCAGTCGTATGTCACATGCCTTGGGTACGGCCACAAGTTACCATGGAAGACCCCGGGGTCGGCAGATAGGCCGCGACTTCAATGATACCCGCAACGGTACAGAAGATCAAGAATGACATGGCGATGTACGTGGACAGGATGAAGGCCGGGCCGCCACGAGCGAGGGTTTGGCCTGAGCCGACAAAGAGCCCAGTACCTATTGTGCCACCCAACGCAATCATTTGAGCATGTCTACGTTCCGTCAGTCTTTGAGGATATAGGGTATCAAGAGGGGTCTACTGACCGTGACTTCAGACCACGCTGCGTAGTCTCATAACGCTCGTCGAATATCTCTCCCGCAACAATCTCTGGATCGACAGCGGAGCTTTTCCTGCGACTCGCCGTATGCGACTTGCGAACATGGCCAATGCCATAGTCCACGCTCTGTTCTCCGATAGCCGAGTCTTCTGCCTTCTTCTCGGACATGACTGCTTTTGGGACTCTGACGGTAAACAATCAGTCAAGAAGTAGAAAAGGGAGTTGAATTGTAGATAAGAGTCTTGCATGCAGTCGGATCAAGTAAACCCGGTCAGCATGCTAGCCGTGTAACTAAGGAATGCTTGTCCAGCTGCGATACGTAGTCCCACGCGGATTCACCAAGCCGGATATGATAACCCCAGATGAACGCTGATATGGCTTTCTCCATACGCTCACGTCAAGCCGCGGACGATGGTCCGGTGGAACGAGTCGAGACTGGCAAGGATACGAACCAGGGCTGAAGATAGGCGCCGATAAGGACAACGGCAAGAGAGTACAAGAGCTGATAAGCTTCTTCAGTGTTCATAGACGAGCTAGGCTACTTGTAGAGATGTTCGATTCCATCTGCACATCCGTGGGTGCAGCATGGAACTGCGCAGCTGCGTAGAAGTGCTTGTGTGCAGGTGGTCTCGGAAGGCACGACAAACACGCTCGCACATAGAACATGCCCAGGTGTGCTTGGCGAGCCTTATATCTCGGTATCGAATCAGGAATCGGAGTACGAGATATAGCCCTACAAGAAGTAATGATGCACCAGGGATGCCCACTGACACGGCGTGTTGTTATCGCAATCGTCCGAACAGCGCCGTCCAAGCCTGTTTCGGCTAGCAATCCATCTAGCTGAGAGAGGCAGCTACGGTTGTCATCATTCCGCCATACATGTTTTAAGCGTAGGCAACACGCTTAAGTTTCGGAATATGAGTGATGTAGAGCAGCTGTCGTAAACGCGACCAGCAAGATTAGCGCACTTTCCGCCAAGGGCTTTTCGCATGTGGAGTAGACGGGCCAAGGTACGATGGCTATTGAGCACCATGCCAAGAAGGTGTTACTGCATGGATATGGGAGTTGCTACAAGATTTCTACCTAGCTACATCTCGAGTCAACGGGTAGTGTTGTAGGTGTCGGGATAGACAGGCGTGTCGGAGACTGTGTGACCGATGCAACCCGAGTGTCTTTGGTGTATTCCTGCAAGAGTATGACTCGTTTCACGACACAACTTGATGGTTTGTGACTACAATAAACATCTCACGTTACTGTCTGGCATCAACTGACAACCTCCTGGCCTCACCATGTCAATTCCTTCTGCGGTCTCTTGACCATGCCTGGAGGTACACAACCCCACGAGCATACGCTGACTCTCAGTGGAAGAAAGTCACCTGAGCCCCGGCTCCAGAATTCAACCCACTCGGCGCGTGCCACAACGTAATGCTTGCGACAGACATGGCACTCGCGGAAGAGACCGTATCCGTCGGCAGCGTTCGCTTCTGCTCGCGAGAGAATGGCTTCGACCATGGGGAGAGCACACGGGCTGAGGTAGTCACGTATTTTGTGCGGCTCCAAAGAGTGAAGTGCCATATGCAGGGTCGTTGTGAAGAGGGAGGAAACTTTGCTTGTGCACGGAGGGACGAACCACGGTGAGGAAGGTAGGCCGTATGTACCCTGATTCGTCTCGATGATGACCGGGTAGTGTTCCTGGTCGGAAGTAGGGAGCTTTGGAGAGCCCTTGAGAAGCTTGCCATCCTGCCCATAGTAAGAAACCAGAGTCCGAGCAATGTACCGTGGCGTGTGGGCAACGGCATCGCCCTCTACTAAAGCCTCTAGGCGCAACGAAGGGTGGTGCGAATAGAAGCCAACATCTTCAGCGGGGCACTCTCGGGCGTCGTCTGCACCGCCAAAAGAGTTGGCCCAGGACTCGAAATAGCGGATGCGCCAGACAGCCTGGTCGCGGTCTTTGCACGTTGCCAGCGTTGGATAGAGATGAGCGAGCTGCTTGTTTGCGTCTTCTCGTACGCCATCGAGGTGGTGAAGGGGCCCTTGGTGTTGCTTCTGGTAGTCGGTGAGGGAGAAGCGGCGGAAGGACATTGGCTGGAGCAGATCAGTGCCCATGAGAGTGAGGCGGGTCATGTTTCCATGTGGGGCAAGAAGAGTGACGATGTCGAAGGGGAGGTAGTGAAGCTTGTTGAGGGATACGTCGAGGGCCTCGAGCTTGCGCAGGCGGCTGATTTGCTGGGGAAGCTCGTCGATGTCGTTCTGGCGCAGATAGAGGCCAGTGAGATCGTCGAGGTGGAACAAAGCGGGCACGAGGCGACGGAGCTTGTTCTTGCCGAGGTTGACGTGGAGCCTGGGGAGCAGAGAGCGGTACTGGCCCGCCGTGGGGAGCTCGTTGTCGTAGACGGGAGGGTGGCTGATGACGGAATTGAGCTCGCCAATGCGTGTGATGTCGCGGTCGGCGAGGTCGAGGCCAACGAGGTCGTACGACTCGCGGTCCGCGGCAAGGCCGTCGTCGATGTGCCGGTTGAAGACGGCCGCTGGAGTGGCGTGTCTCGCCACGTCGACGTCGACGTCCATGGCCTCATCGTCGGCAGCTCGCGCGTGGAGCGAGCGGGGGAGCGAGACGGCGGCGCGGAGAGAGGCTGGCGGCATGTACGGGGGCGGGGGCAGGTCGTCGCAGCTGCTGGTCGCGTCGCTGAGCATGTAGATGCCCGAGTCCAAGTTGCGCGCGAACTTGGTCTTCTTGACTT